GGACGATTCTCAGACCTACCCGATGTGCACACAAAATTTCATAAAAATCGGTCCAGCCGTTTCGGAGGAGTATGGTAACTAACATTGTGACACGAAAATTTTAAATATAAGATTTATTTATTTTATAAATATTTATATAATTTCAAATAAATATTCTAAGAAATATTGCGACAAAACTTAATAGTTGTCTACTTTTTCATTAGGTAGTCTAAAAATAGGTATAAAAACAAAGATTAAATGAATTAGTTGAGGCTTAAACCGACAGCAAGCGTATGAGTGTATTTATTTTCATATGTAATGTTGAAATGTCAACCTATTATTATGGTTGTAAGTTGTAATTAACGATCATCGGTATACTTATTCGTTTATACGCTATAAACAACTCAGGAGCAATAAAACGTACGGAACCAACTTTCTACATCAACATAATGCATTTATTTTTAAGTTCTCTGCGATACGAATGTGGGCTTATTGATTGTCGGTAATTATGCAAAATAACGAGTCGCAGACTGGATCGCAGTGCTCTAACTAGTGACGTGTATTAACGGTTCGTTAGTACCGTCAGTAGTAAAAGTACCCGACGTTACAAAGACACTGCGTGCGGAAATCTTAATTAATTTATCGCCAAAGCAATTTTGTAGCAAATATTTCGATACTTAATTATAATTTATATGCAATATGTAGGTAGGTACTTTTATTTTGTTTGTATTAGTAAATGGTATGTACATTGGTTTAAATTACGTGATCAAATGCAATTTTAATTCAAACTCATAATACAAATAGTAATATTTTTTAATTTTTCCTTGATATAAAGGGAAGGAGATAGAGAGAAGATCAAGAAAAGTTAGGACAATACAACAATGCTGTAATGAACTTTTATTTTTTTATAAATAGGTACATATTATACATAGAAACACCAGACCAATTTAAATAAACATATTTATAAATACAAAAATTTGCTCTGAGCGGGAATGGAACCTGCGACCTCGGCAACCTATCCTTTCTTTCTATCCTTTGCCGGTCACGGTCAACTTAGCACCCCATGCACTCAATAGGGACAGAGCAACAATTAATCCAATTGAGGCCGTGATATATTCAATCAAGTATAATACTCAAATCATTGACAAAAAAAATACCAACTTATTTAATAAATAAGGTTTTTAAAGAAAAAAATTGGCAACATTAATGTCTATAATTTCCCAGTGTCACTCTCACAATTGAGACGAATATAACGTCACCTATCAAGCTAACATCCATCAAGTCGTTTAGTGAGCATCCCCAAGAAATATTTATATTCACGTGACAACTAACTATACTAATCTAATACCGTTGCTAACCGTACCTTTACAACGTTTTATACTGACCGTACATAAAATACTGCCAATAAAACGATGGTCATCTAGCGAACGCACATATCGTAGTAATATATACATGTATAGTAAGCCTAATTAGACGCGTAGATGTTTATGTAGTTAATGCTGGAGATAACATGGGATTATGGCTTAAGGCGGTGTATGCCACTAAAGACCTTGACTATTTTTTTGTTTTTAATTTACAAAACTGGTAACACTATGATTTCTCTTTCTATATTCTATTGTGTCATACGCGCGTAAAAAACATCCTTATCTTCTTATCATAGAACTTTTTTTAAATATAAAAAAAAAACATATTTATAAGGTGCAAAACAGAAATAGGGGTAAGATTATTTATGTCGGGGCACCAGGGACTTCCTTTCTAGGGTATACCTGGTTCCCCGCTATTAGTACCCGAGACGGCGTGCGGTTTTAGTCGGTTCGAGTCCGACATGCCACCGACAGGTGGTATCCGAGGGGATTTCCGCACGGAAAAAAAAAAAAAGGGGGTAAGATTATTACTGACATGGTTTGAGAAATAAATGGCAATTTGTATACATATAAAAGATATTTCTTAACACATTTTTAAAAGCAAAATCGTTCTTTAAAAGCAATTTAGTTTTTCCAATTTTTACACATTTTTTGTCAGGTAACACTCATTGCTAAAACGTCCTTGTGATATTTGCGACATCGACAATGCTTGTGAAACTAGTGTTAAAAATAAGCGTATCTATTAATCGTCTATGATACTCCTGAACACTTGAGGCAATAACAATATAATATGAATATTCTTATTCTTTGGGAAGGCAATCCACAATATTCTGATAAGAAATCAATACGTAATTAACGCCCCTCTATTATAAATTGAGTAAATAAAATTTAATTGACTAAAGTTAGGTCAATTAGGTACTTTAATTTTTAGCTAAAAGAAACCACTGTTTTTTTTTTTCACAAAGACAACTCCCGGATTAGGAATATATATCCTCGCGCGTCGCAAGGGTCAATAAGAACACCCACACACACAAAAACCCACAACACGCAGAGCAGTAGAAATCGGCATGGCGATTGCTTAAACTACTACGGCATCCGTGCAGATATTATCAATATTAAATAATATAATCCTACTGTTTAAACACTTCTAAACAAACGTTTTTCATTAATAATTCAATACAACTTATTCTCTAATAGGTGCTCCAAGTGGGACTTTCAAAGACTTCACCGAAATCGATTAAAAAAGGGTAGGCATCGGCTACTTAAATAAACAGTTTAATGTAACGGTGAAGAAAGTTGCTTTCATGTGCAAAAGCTCAACCTAATTAAATTTTCATATGAGTGAATGACCAGCGCCGATGTGCTCGGAGATTGTAAATGTTATTCAATGCCATTAATGTTTTCGATTGGATCGATTTTATTGGTACTGAGGCTAAATATATTGTCATGGAAACATATACTTAGTCATAAACTCAAATGTAAAATACTAGCAACTACAATGTTTTGTTTATAGTTAGTTTACTAACTTGTATATTGTATTTTAAGGTATGTGTTACAGGTTGATATCGGTCTGGTCTTTGTTGAGCGGTTGCAATTCAATTTCTTGATTAAAATGTTGTTTAAAAACGGTTTTTACAGGAAATATGCCAAAAAATTGCACGACGTGTGTATTGACAATTACCAGTGCCCATTGTCAACACTTGTGCTACATCAACTAATCCAAACAAAAAAATTCAATAGGTAGCTGTACTTATGTCATATTGACTTCAGTGATATTTTAAGGAAGATACGAAGATACGTGTGGTGACGGATTAAGAATACAGAGTGTCACCACCCCTATTCATTCCGCGGGTGTCGTAAGAGCCGACTAAGGGCGAAAACTACGCAGAACAACAGCACTGCAGAGAGAAGGAAAACTTGACACAAACCCTATAACAACCCGTCTGGCCAGCGTAGTATAGTAGGCCAAAACCTCCTTTCTAAGGAGAGGCTTATGTCAAGCAGTGGACTATTAAAGGCTGTTGATGATGATGATGATTGATGTTATATCATATTTGTTCCGTAACCGTACATCTATTAGTGCATTTTATTACAAAACATACGGTTACCTATGGTATGATATTCCTTTATCTTTATTTACCTTTTTGTCGTAATTTGTTCAGTATCGGAATATACAGGCAGGTATTTTATGATTTTTCTTTTTAGTCGCGTATCTACCTCTTGTTTGTAAATAATATCATTGATTGACTGCCAAAATGCGTGAACAATCGTTGCAACAATATGACGTCAATGAACTAACTAAGAAATACTCAACCCGTCATAATGTGACATTAAATTAGTAATTCCATTTTAATCAATGACAGACAAAAACTAAAATATAAAAAGTGAATAGTTAAAAATACCTAGAGTTTTACTCAAATGTATGTTTCGGGAATGTTCCCAAAATATACACGACGTGAGTAAAACTAGTCGGACATCCGACAATTTTTGGGAAACGCTTTAGCCCTATTCGCATTCGCAATAAAGCAAGTATTGATTTGTCGAGTCCGATTACCGGTCGTCGACACCTAGAACGAGATGGTATTTACATTCTTCTGCAGTTGTTAGCGTCTTAACTTTAACGTCGCTGAACTCTTCTCTCTCATTTTGTAAATTGACGAAGCGAACAAACATGCTTGAGCTAGTTACATAATGTTAGAATTTATTATGTTCATTGAGGTTGTTTAATAAATTATGTATGTATGTAATACATTATTTTTATCCTTTAATGAGATCTTAAATCTAAAAAAAAACGACATTGACTATTTACCTCGTGAAAAAAAGAAATTAACTGTTTTTTAAATAAATAAAATTAAAAACTTAAATAAAGCAGCTTTAAGCTTCATATTCTAAAGTAACTATTGTAAAAATAATATAAATAAATTCATATAATCATAATAACAATAAATGTTAACAAACAGTTCAACTTGCTTACCACTAGCGCCATCTAGTAGCGAGTAGAAACTTAATACGGTTACACGAATATTTTTGCACAGCCTTCAACGCGCGATACTTTTACGCTAACCGTTGTATAAATTATTCATAACTTTACATAGATATTCAATATTTATGTCATTCAATCAATACTATGCATGGAGTGAGAACAATTTTCAACTTACTGGTTTCCAATAGCATTGTCGTAATACTTAAGACATGTAAATAAATAATAAATAAATGAAATTATTTTAACAAATGGTTTAGAATAACCTTATATTTTCAATTTCAATGGAAATCATCTAGTGTTGCATTGCTAGAATGGACACCGTACCAAATCATTTCTGTCTTGTACCCAAGTACCTATTTGAAATTAATTGATTAGACAGATTACTAACAACAACGTAACGTGACAAGTATGTACCGTGACTTGCCGTGTAGGTCAATGGAATTTGTCAAAGTTGCCTAAATGTGTTTCATTTCAGTAACGTGATTAATAGACTTTTAATAAAGAACCGTTAAGTGGTCTTGTCTTCAAACTGAATATATTACTGTTAATCTGGTTTAATATCGGTTAAGCTGATACTTGAGAACTTCAACAGAACAATTATATTTAAAGCGAAAGTAATAATATGTAAATAATAGGTACTAATATTTGTTTTCGTTTTGTCAACAGTGTTCGGGATGGACTCGCCTCTGGGCCTGTTCCCGCCAGGCATGGAACACAAAATGTACCCTCTGATGGACGTGGAGCATCGCGCGCCGCCGCTAGATGCACAACTCTTCACAAATGTCAAAAAGAAATGTAAGTTGTTTGTTGGTTTAAATACTTTATCTACTTAAAGTAGTATTTTTGTGATAAGTTCTATTTTTTATTTGGTCTTGTTGTAGAGGTTTATAGCAATGCCGAATAAAAGAAACTGTTAAATAGGTCGAGTAGGTATATTTTTCTAGAAAACTAAGTTTGTAGACAAGCACACCGTCAGCATGAAACTAGTTTCCAGCATCTTTAATTGTTCGTTTGTTTTGTCAAACATAATGATAATTATAGTGTAATAAATCTAAATTTAAAACGATAAAAAAAACTGAAACTGAAAATAAAAAAAAATTTAGACAAGAATGGCAATCTTTGCCGACGAAAGTAAGACCAACAGATACTTACTCATAGATAAGCAGTCAGTTGGTTGTATTCCTCACATATTCAAGTTATCTCGAACAATGCAGCAAGCGCTACTTCACTCGTATCAGGAACAGTAGGAGCACGCCACTAGTAACAATGCATAGCGGCGCAATAATGCACAAACTGCATGTTCTCATCCCCATCACACTTCGAGTGCTCTCGCAATCGCACAGCGCGAATGTTAAACGCCCATTGTTTCCGAGCAAATGTTTATTAAGACGATCTGATATCATATCTCATAGGGGAACAGACGGCTAGTCTAACGTATGCTTTGAATACGCTCCCAGTTGTGGCCGGCGCGGGCGCGCGGGCGGTGGCTCCCGACTCCGTTCCCGACCGCACACAATAGTCCCGATCGATTAGAGCCCATCGCACTAGACAGGCAACATGTAACTCTGTCACCGCCGCAGCTCTTTGCTCGCTAACGAGCTACAAATGGAAAACATCCTTTTTAATTTTCAACGGCGCTCGCGTGACCCGCGATGACTATTAAAAGAAAAACTAATTTCCATAATAAAATATCATTCCTCCGACGTTCCAAAATGTTTCTTGAATTATCTGATCGGAATCGAGTTAACGTGCTCCGTTGAAATTATAAAACTATAAAGTTAGGGGCGACGTCGCCGGCGTATGCATGTCCGCATTTCTTTTTGACAAACCACCGTAATAGTCGCGTGCTCGCATCGAATTAATGACAAATCGCCGCCAACAAAATGTCGCTGCAACCCGCTCATTTTGCTCAGACTACCACTCGGTACAGTTATTGCTCAGCCAAAACATAGTTATTAGATAATGGTGCATTCGGGTAATGCCGTCGCGGTGGTGCGCGGCACACGGCATGTGTCGTGCTGGTTTACCCGCACTCCTCAAATCGTAAATCACAAAACTCAGAGATGGTGTGGTTTTCTTCTAACTAATTATAATTAGTTACCTAAAGAACCAATAATATTTCTTTAAATATTTCTATTGCCCTGACATGAAACATTAAATCGGTTCAACATCGTATTTTTCTTCCGCAGGGAGACCAAAGGGGCAACACAGCGCACCGCGTGGCGGCCCTCCTAGATCGTGGACCAACGCCGAGCTTACAGAGGCATTACAACACGTTTGGAACAAGAAAATGACAACAAGCCAAGCATCACGAATCTTCGGTATTCCGTACAATTCATTGCTGATGTACGTACGCGGTAAATACGGAAAGAGCCTGAAGTTAGAGCAGCTGAGGAAAGACTGTATCGGCGGTCCGCTAGATGTGCTGAATCTTAACTCCGGCCATAACAACAACAATCAACCTTCAAGCAAACATCACGAAAAAGACGAGCATCATAATGCGAGCCAAAGACCGGCGAGTTCCGAGCCAGACATCGCCTCGAATCCAATGTTTAATCCATTCCAACAAGGGTTTTACCCAGAGTTCCCACCAGGGTTCCCAATGCCGCTCAACATGCTGCATCTTCTCCCGCCTAGCGAAAAAACGAGGGAACTGTACCAGTCGATGCCCATGGCTCTGGACTCGCTGTCAGGAACAACAAAAGAGGAAGATTGTAAGAGTGATAGATCAAAGGAGAACTCAGCTGACGAAGAGGGAGATACATACCGCACGCCCTCACATGTAGCGCATCCGGCGGACAATCGCACGCTTCTGCATCACAACGGACAGGAGTAGACGTCCTAATCTCTTCCATCATCATACGTCTTCGATATGCACTGTACCTTCAATTGTTAGACAAACATTAAGTGTATTCAGGAACAACTTGTGAAGCTGTCGACTGACAGCCTAACATCTTCGCATGAAGTTTGTTTATTAAATATATCTGTTGACGGACTAAAACTGGAATTTAGTTAGTGTATTAATAAGTCATGTGTTTTAGAAATTAATTTTATATCTTATGGTCGATTATTAGCAGAACTTCAAGTCGTTGTGCTTAGTGGTACTTCTGTAAAATTGAAACAACTGAAAGTTGACACACCGCAAACGGGCGGTGATTTGTTACCTTTAGTGTAAATCACAGTAATATGAAAAATTATTCACCGCCATCCACAGACGTTGGACAATATTGTTTGTATTTCTGTGATGTAGACTATTAATTGTTACTTTGTACATGTAGGTATCACTCGCGAGGCAAACTGGAGATCTGGCGAGAGGCGACATAGTGTAATATTTCGATTGGAACTTAAAACTCGCCTAAATAACTTGAACGGTAGCTAAGAATGCTATTGTTTCAATTGTGCAATACTTTAATTGGAACTTACTATGAATACACTAGAAAAGTTTCAGTTTTAAGGTAAAGTAACATGTATTAGGATGTATTTGTGAATTTTCCGGGGATCGCTACCGGCGACGTCCACATTAAAATTAGTTAAATTTATATTAAAAGATGTGTTAATATTGTAAATGTATATTAATGTCGCGTAAGTGATAGGCGATAATTTATTTTGAAGGAGTGCAATAAGTATGAAAGGTGTTGTGATTGTTATCGTTAAGACATTCCGAATTGCATTATTGTTGACATTCCGTTACATTCCTTATTTATAGTAAATGTACTAAGTATATAATTTCTTACGACTTTTATTGAACAAATTGCTATTGATTCGTCGATTAATAACGAACCCTATGTAGATAAAATACGTTATACGTGCGAATTCACTTCTGCATTTCACCAAAGTTTGTAAAATAATTCGTATAATAGTTTATAATTCGATAATAAACAATTTTTAAATGTAAATAGTTATTGATAAAAATTAATCGGATATACATTTTTGAATTAACCAGTAAATAAGAGGACATTATATGTGTCCGAAATGGTAAATAGTAGTGTATTTGTAATTGTTGTAGTGTTAGTGATGTGAATCAGTGAGGTGGCCCAAGTGAAGGGACGCAGCACGGCACAGAAGGTCCGCGACGCACTAGTCACACACACAGACACGCCCACATACCACAAACACACTAAAACGTCACAAAATACAGGTTAACCAAATAGCAGCACTGGCGCAATTATTAATTACTTGTCTATGAAATATACAAAAACGGTTTAAGTAAGACGAGAATCTTTGCATAAATCATCTTAGACATTAACTTTACAAAACATCTGATAAATGTCAGTTTGGATCCCTTTATAAAACTTATAAAATACTTACATGAAAATTAAATGTTATTAAATGACAGTGCGCGCTACGATTAGACAAATAATGTATCTGCACTCAATGTTCAAATAAAAAGGAGCTTTCAAGATTTTAGTAAATAATGAAAGTTAGTATAAAAAGTTCATACTATCTGGCTTTAGATAAATGTATACAGTGATCACTAGAGATACCGTGTGGTTAGTTGAATCCATTTTACCTGTTGTAAATATAATTTGTATTATATTGAACTTTATCTGTTGGATATAACGTTTTCTTTATATGCTAAACTAACCTATACTAACGATATTTACGTTCTATGGCAGTTTCATTCCTTTGAAAGAAAAACAATGATTCAGGACAAAGTATTGATCCAAATTATGTAACTATAGTCGTCGAAACATGAAAATCTCTCAACAGAAGACTGAACACTATTTACGATTCTATTTTATAAAAAATATTGTACATTACACAAACAGTACAGCTGCAATTAAATTCTCATAACTACATACAGTAGTAACACATAGTGTCACTTCATAATAACAATATTATCATTACAGGGATTTTATATATTAAACGATTAAATATGATTAAAATATTGTAATAGTTTTAACAGATTTTATATTGCTTTTTCTCATTCTGTGTAGGCTGGAAACACTAGAACATGCAAAACCCGCGCACCTTTTGTAATAAATGTAACGGATCACGTGTAGATAATAAATAAGGTCATGTATTGGATAAATAAACAATTATCTGTATAAAACGTAAATACATGTGCCAAAAATTGTAAACAAATATTTCACGTTGAACGGTCAGTTTTCATTGTTCTCAATAATCTCTCAGGGTTTGTGTTGTGACTTGTGACCATAGATTATGTCTACTATTTTACCTAATTGGTACAAATCAGCAGTATTAGAGTGATTTTTGTTAAAGTTTTAACTGAGGTTTTTGTAATTAAGTTTTGTTATTTGTTAATGTGTAGGTCCTACTATTGACGAAATGGTTATGTTGAGTGTTCTACAAAGTTCAGGAGGGTATATGTTTTGTATGTTTCAATTCTTAGGATTCTGTGGATTACCTTGTGCTGTAATTACTTTTTTATTTTTATTTGTTCTTTCTGGCCTCTACGCCGCTAGACACTTTCTTATAAACTACCTACGTTCAGCTTTTCAGCACAGTTCTCATTAAGCATAGGTGACATCAGGAGCCAAATGTAATTACGTAAAGAATTAATAGATAATATATATATTGTACGATATTGAGTACTTACTTTTAGTGAATAAAATAATGTGATTATAATAATTTTAGTAAAAATTCTAAATGTTTAGTTCCTTTAACTTTTGTTATGAGTATTTATACATTGTAATTACAATGATTTTTAGCTTTTAGATAATTGTTCTCTCCGATAAAGAGTATAATTAATTGTAAGTTCTTTTTTTGTAATTTAATTTGTTGTATTTTCCTTAATATAATGACAAATTAAATTAAATGATATCGTTACATTAGGATGTAAAAAAGATTATCTATTTGATCTTAAATAAAATACGAAAAAAATATTTATGTTCTAGTATCATTCTAACTTGTAATTGAAATGATGGAGCGATGTAGTAAAATTCGTTTACGGTCACCGACGTAAAGTGTAAAAAATAAAAATGTGAAATACCAATTTGCCGTTTCATTTCCTTGCATTACGCATCATTTACATAACACAAAGTCGATTTGTTACGAACCGAAATAGTCACCGAAAACTTTCTAAACTGTACATGCAAACAGTTACAAGCTGTCCTATTTGTTCAGTCTAACAAATATTTAAATACAACAATTGATATTATTTTTTAACTGAAAATTGATCCAAAATATAATAGCCGTTTACTTCTAGCTACCTTCGCACATTCAAGAACCCTACAAAGAAGTATAATAGTGCTATAGAATTGAATTGGAAAAGGACTTGAGTAGAAATGACGGAATAAGACTCATACGTAAAATACCCCTTTCCAATAACTATTATCACACACGGCCGTCTGATACCAAACTACTTTGAGCCTGCACTTCGGTAACTAGATTGCTGGTACAGGATGCACAGGTTTTTTTGTGAAGCCGTGATATCACTAAGGTCTGAGGCTCTACCAACATAAGAACTCTTTATCTCTTCTAACGACTTTAGGATTTTCCTTATTTTAATGAAAAATATTCACTTATATTTAAATACTAAAAAAATAACGTTTTAAATAAACTTAAGCTGGATTCTATAACGCTATAGTCTAAATACGACGATATAGACTAAATATCGATTTAACATTCGGCCGCAACATACCTAATTTAGTCGGACGAAGTGAGTGTGCCCCGTACTTGTAGCTTCATACTTTGCGGAACAGGTCTGTCGATGTAGAAATAGGAAAAATATAAATAAAACAAATATGTTTGATATCACATTAAATCATACCCTTTTATTTTCATTTTAATTAAATATGAGTTTATAATTAATACAAAATTATACACTAATCAAACGGTGGATACTGTAAGCTTACAATTTTCGTAAAAAGTCCACATTGAGCAAGTGCAAGCATTATTTCAAATAGGTACCTGTATACAACTATAGGCGCGAGTTCTAAATTTTATCACTACTCAGTTCTCTGACTATAGTTGCACAGTAATACATACATTTATTTTAAGAATGTCCAGTCAACATTTTATAAAATTCTATCTATTGCCTGTTTTGTCTAACATACGAACTTCGAAGAATATGATCCCATATATTTATTTATTCGAGTTTTTTATCACCAATTAGCGTACGTAACAGCTCACCTTACGAGTAGGTATATGCATATGCTATTTATTGCCGCGTAGCTACAGACCAAATCAACTAGAAGCTGGAGCGATAACGAATCTGAGTTGAGGCTGATACTATAAATTTACTATTATCATTGTACAGAATTTAAAAAAATCTTAAGCACTGATCATTTATGAATTAAATAAAAACAACCAACAATGACATAGATTCACATACATCACGAAAACAAAAAAAAATACGTAGGTCACAATTAGTACCGAGTACTTCATGAGTAAATTGAATATTTATGAAGCCAGCACAGTGTGTCGTATTCCGATATATACCTTTGATTGGATAATTTATATGTCTATATGGAGTGTGGCGCATTACAAAATAGCTTAAAAGCAAACGGGCCACTTTTATTACGCATGCCAATGGATCGATAATTACAATTGACAACGACAAAACAGCTAACACACACAGCGACTATAACATGGTGACAACAGTTTACGGTATTTTTTGGACATTTACATAAAATAGCAGACGTGGACCTCAAAATTGGGTCGGCTATTGCGTTTGGTTTGACATACCTTTATTCAAAATATCAACAGCGACACTAAACACGAGATAATAAAAAAAGATCCTCCAGCCCTATCGCTCAACCAGTAGAGCATTGGGACTTAACGTTGATTCCCGACTGCGCAACTATGAGAAGTCCAATTGAAGTGGGGAAAATGCGCGAGGCAACATGTAAATACGTTGCAAGCGCTTGCCGC